AGCAGAAGCCCAAATGGCATGACCCCAATGTGAACATAGACCGGGCTTGCCGTAGCTGCACGGCCCATAGTATATCTTTGGCGTTGAATAGTCATTAGGGGTGTGATATCCACACATCTCTTTTTACTTCTCACACATCCTTGTTAATTTATGTCGTTGATCTTCTTCAATTCATTCGATCTGACGGCTAAAAACTAAAAAGGTGTGGGAAAAGTAAAAAATGATATGTGGATATCACACCCCTAGTCACTATTGGCGATAGATTGTTTCTTCCATCCACACTATTGAGTTTCTATTCAAACCTTTTTGTATTATAAAACTTTATATTTATGATCAGAATCATATACATCACTTTGTAAAGATTATATTTGTAAAAATGAATTAAAATTATGTTCGTTTAGTCAATCTATTATAGCAAATACATGCACAATTTGTAATGCTTCTATCAATTTTGTTCATCTGTTTTTATACAATTTGATGACTAGATAACCTTAGTTTTATTTAATTTTTGCAGAAACGATCTTATAAAGTGATTTTAATGTGAACGATTCTGATCATAAATACGAAGATTTGTAAAACGGTCAATAACAATTTTAAGCATAAACTCTTATTCATCTTTTGTTTTCAATACACAAATATAATGTGAGGATTTGTTTTAATTGACTCTGAATAAGTACTAAGATTGTCGTCGATATATATTATAACACTTAAAATAATATGCAAGGCGACAAGTGTCCAGATAGCAAGTTCTCCACCGTCTGAGCACATTCCCCTGTGCTAATCTTCGAAAGTTACCCCTTTGTCCGTTTCCAACACACAAATGCCATTTGTTGTTCTTAGTTTGCATCGAGCCCTGATGATTTTACTTCCTTGTCCTGTGCCCCCCCAAACACATCGTGCTCGTCGTGAGACGATCATATAAACACACATGACACAATACAAAAAACCATTCAACCTTAATCACGGTTAACAATGGCGTCTAATTACAGGTCAGCCGATTCGAGGCTCTCCGATCTCGAGCTAGCATGTGCCGATTTGAAAACTCTCCTAACAGCGACGGCGAAAATGGAGGAAAATCTTCAACAGATGGACAACAAGTTCGAAGTCATAGACGAAACGCTTCTAACTGCGTCTAAAAGAGTAGCTCCTATGCAATCACTAGCCATGGCCTCGAAAGCCTTGGAAACCAGAATCAACCGAGCTGTCACGCCGGCCCTGGCGCTTCTCGATAACTTCAAGCTCTCCGAGACCATCCAGGACAAGCTCTTGGATCTCGCGGAGACGTTGTCCAGCGAGAAGTCAAGGAAGAAACGGCTCAAGAAGCTTGTCAAGTACGTGGACTGCGTGGATCAGTTGAAAATTGCGATTAGCTGTATTTGCGAGGAAGGCGAGCCAGTGATTCAGAGGCTGCAAGAGGTGGTGGAGTTTTTGAGCCGGACGAAGGCGACGGACCAGTACAGGACTCACCGGCTGAGGGAGACGCTGGTGACTCTCAAGGCGCTGTACGAGACGGAGGTGGATGCCATGAGGTTTGAAGGGTTGCTTGATGACGCGCTGCTGAATTTGCAGGACGAGTATGAGAGTATACTGGAGCAGATTAAACATCGGAATGTGGTGGATTTGCAGGCTGCTTCGGATAAGAGGAATGAGATAGCGATCGTGGGTTTGGATTTGGGGACTGAGTTGGAGGTTGAACTTCTCAGAAGGATTTCACAAACCCTAGCTGCCGATGATTGCTTGGACATATGCATCGATATTTATGTTAAGGTAACTTCATTACAATGGTTATTTTTCCGCACTTAGAGAAATGTTTTCTTCTTAATTATGTGATTAGTTATCCACCTATACTAGGGTGAACAGCACCCTTGGCTATTAGACCAAGCGCTTAGGGTCCTCCGTATTGTGACCTCAGCATGATATGATAAATTAATACTATTACATGTCCTCGGTACTTTTGAGGCCGAATATAATTGGAATTAAGTTTAATACAGTTTTATAATCTCATCTTTTAAAAGAGTTTAAGACATAATACGTTCAACTGTATTCTAATAATTTAATGAGCCTATGTTTTTAAACTTATAAATTAATCGACACTAGCCAGACAATATTCGTTAAATTAATTGAAATACTCCACTTCAAGCCGATGCTATCAAATTATAATTAATTTTATATTTTATATTTCTAATTGTTATGCTTCTTGTTGTTCAACAGTTGAGGTACAAAAGAGTGGCCAAAGCACTGATGAGGCTAAACCCGGATTACCTAAAAACACACACACCAGAAGAAATAGAGGAAATGCCATGGGAGAGCTTGGAGACTGCCATAACCCTTTGGATCCAGCACTTCGAGCTCGCAGTCAAAGCAGTGCTTGTATCGGAGAAGAAGCTCTGCGAAAAAGTCCTAGGAGGAATAATGGAGGGCCTGATATGGCCAGAATGCTTCGCCAAAATCGCAGACAAAATCATGGCAGTGTTCTTCAGGTTCGGCGAAGCCGTTGCCCGGAGTAGCAAAGAACCCCAGAAGCTGTTCAAGCTCCTTGAAATGTTTGATTCCCTAGAGAAGCTGAAGCCTGGATTCTCAGAGGTTTTCGATGGCGAATCGGGGACTGACATTTGTACAAGATTCAGGGAGCTGGAGAAGCTACTTGTTCATGCTTCGAGTAAAGTTTTTTGGGAATTTGGGCTCCAAATTGAAGGCAATTCTGATGGAATGCCTCCACCACCAGATGGTTCGGTGCCGAAAATAGTAAGGTACGTCAAAATATTAGAAAGACGAATTAACGGAACATCATTAATTAGTCGAGTATATTGGAGTATTGGTTTTGAATTATTATCGAACACAAGTTTTGATCTCTTAATTAAAACCAGCACTTGAATTTGAAAAATATGGAGCATTGGTCATTGACTCTTATTTCATGAGAATTTCGTTAAAGTTAAGTATGTGACACACAATATTTAGAACGATCATCTATGAAGTATCAAATTTGCAAGTTAAGATTTGTCTCACAAACTTAATTTTGACAAAAATTATGACGGAGTTGAATTAAAAGGACCAATGCCTCACATTTTATCAAATTCAGAAATCAGTTTTATACGATTCAAGCGCCATACTTCAAATGTACTGTATGTTATTTTGTCACATTTCTTAAGTGCCACTTTTTACATTCTTCAATAGGTACGCAGTGAACTACTTGAAATACTTGGCAACTGAAAACTACAGCATCCCCATGGCGAAAGTTCTCAGAACGGAGCAAATCTGGAAAGCCGGAATCTTGTCGAAGCCGGAAACCTACGAGAACTTACTCAAAGACGCCATTTGCAACATCATGGAAGCTCTGCAGCGAAACGTGGAGTCGAAACGTTCGGGCTACAACAACAGCAGCAGGGAGAGGGACAAAATCGGCATTTCAATTCCCATGCAACACGTGTTCCGCATGAACACGTACTGGTACATTTACATGCGGACGAAGGACACGGAGCTCGGGAAGCTGTTGGGCGACGGCTACACGAGGAACAACTACAAGGTCGTCGCCGAGGAGTCCGCTTACTTGTACCAGAAGCAATCGTGGGCCCCGCTGGTGAGGATTCTGGAGAAGGACGATTTGGAGGAGAAGCAGAGCAAGGAGGCCAAGGCGGCGCTGGTGAGGGTGAAAATCGAGGCGTTCATGAAGGGCTTGGACGACATTTCGAAGAGGCACAGGGGGTTTTGTGTAATTCCGGACGTTGATTTGCGGGAGCAGATTAGGGCGGCTACCGTGAAGCTGGTGATTCCGGCCTACACTGAGTTCGTGAACTCGTCCTCGGGGTTGTTGCAGGGGAAGAGTTATCTGAGTCCTGACTCGGTTCGTGAGTTGTTGGAGAAAGTTTTTGACGGTGTGGATGGGAAGCTCAAGCGGAGAGGGTCTAAGGATCGGACGGGTGGTGGGAGCTCAGTGAAGGATGGTGTTGTGAAGGACCATCGACGGTCCAGATCGAGTACTAATGACAATTGAGAGCTGTTGATGTCGTTGGATTCGATTACTTTTGTGTATGAATATTTGATGGTAGTGTAGAGATATATATATAGTGATTCTTCAAACTGTATAATAATTTCCTTATTTCTTTATTTGTAAGTATTCATTGTGGGATCTCCAACTTCATTTATTCATTTGAGTTCTATTCGTATGTTGCTTGAGTTATTTTCCAATCGATATGTCTTCATCTGAATTATCACGCAGTCCAAATATTCGAACTTAAAAATTATTCCGTCAACCTGCTCATATCACCAAATTTTCTGTAATGCACCTCTTACACATATCAATAATAAACGTTAAATTGAATGGGAGTTACAAGACGAATTCTTTTCCAATTTTTTTTTTTTATTTCAATACTCTCTCTATGCCGGAAGTTCACTCCGCACTTGCCGCTCCACCCCGACGGCCAAGAATTCGAGACGTTGGTGTAACTTTTGTATTGAGACTGTAAGTAACATAATCTAAACTTCCAATATCAGCCGTTGAGATTCATCTAACTGTTCAGAAAAAAATGTGTAGATAATGTGTGCAATTTTTTTTTGAGTAATGCTATTCTTACCACAATTTTATACTATATTTCTTTATCATTTAATTTCAATTTTTTTATTAATTAAAACGTTTAAATAAGTTTAGGTGGAGGAAGGAAACTCCTCATATACCACAATCATCATTTAATTAACAATTTTTTATTAATTATTTATTAAAATTTTGAAATTAAATTTAGATGATATGGCTGCTCATATCAGATGCCATCGAAGATGATATACAATTATGGTACAAAAATATGGTAAGAATAATATTATTAATTTTTTTTTAGTACAACCTATAATTTGAGCAGCCCTCACCATATCACGCGATGCGTGTGCGGTTGGACACGTTGGGCCTAGGGTGAGTATTTGGCTGCTTGGGCCTTGGGGCCTCCACGTTTCAAGAGTACAACACGTGTCACGAGCTGCTACGTTACAATTGTACCCTAACAAACGCCGTCAATTTACTGGCACAGAAACGTGGTGGTCTTCGAGACTCCTGTGCTCCAGCAAGGTTGAAGAAAGAGAATCATTCCCTTTAGCCGAAGAATCAACAAATCTAATTCAATACAACACTTTCTCGTTTCGTTGTCCAGCACCTGTATTTTGCCACCAATTTTCCCCAGAAAATTCACAACTTTTCCGAGAAAATCATCGCCTAAAGTTCCCGAATCCGAAATGACGACAATCAAAGACCCAAGTCTCGCAATTGACGAATCGGGTCGCGCCATTTCCTTCTCCGATTTCCCCGAGGACGTCCAGCTCTGCATCCTCTCGTTCCTCACGCCTCCCGAGGTCGCCAGCTTCGCCTGCACATCGAAAGGGTTCGTTTCGCTCTGCAAGTCGGACGGCAAGCTCTGGTTCAACATGTGCGACCGCAGATGGGGATCCAAGACCCAGATCAGGAAATGGGGAAATGGAAAAATAACGTACAGGAATCTCTACCAGACCCTCAGCGATTGGGAGAATCTGATTGGGTTCTGGCGCCAAGGCGGCGTCGCGATATCGTCACCGTTGATTTTCTTCGAGTGGGGCCCGTCGTTCGTGACCGGATTCCGGATCTCTCCGGCCAAGGATGGCACTTATGGCGTCGTAAAGGCGCCGTTTTTGTGGATGAGCCTCTCGCCGGAGGGGCAAGTCGTGAACTTTCTCGACCCGGAAGGCCGGGCCGAGATTTCGGAAGATTTCGCGGATTCCCACCGGTTCAAGTTTTGGGAGAGCGAGTTGGTTCCTGTGAATTTGAGCGTGATGGGGAAGACCTATTTTGTTGTGGAGGAAGATGCAAGCTTTGGGGCTCGGGGAACTTCGAGCTCGGGGAGTGGCCGCGGAAACAACAGTGGGGTTGGCGAGGATGTGATTGGAGCGGCCGAGAGTAGTGGCTCTCCGGGGACCTCGCCGGACCAGGCGGTGGTGGAGATTTATCAGTACTTTGCGAACCGGACCAGCCCGGGTGCGGATAGAGCTTCCAGGAGGCAGAGGAGGAGAGAGAAGGAAAGGCAGGCAAGGAGGAAGCTGGAGCCTCAACATTTCGTCAAGATTGTCGATTGCTCGCCGACGGCGGCTCGGCCTTTGCAGGGCCTCTGGAAGGTGCCTTTTCTCTCTTTGTACTTGTATTTTTCAGCTGAAAGTTTGAATAGAAGATTGTTATTGCCTCGAGAGATTTTGTGCCTCTAGTATATACACACACGCATTAACATTTTGCTTTCAGTTTTACCTGTTGTGAAGTGTTTGTTGAGTGTTGGCGGACTGCTATGTGTCTAGTTTGTAATTTGGAGTTTAGAATTGGCACCCAGATGTACACTGGATGGTTAATCAGGTTGGCTATAGAGTTCTTAGATTATATAAACGTGTACTTATCAATTTGTTAGGTATGAAATTTACAAGCGGAGTTCTGTCTGCGACTCTGCAACAACCTGTTAGTTTGTAAGTGCTTGAATCTTATAGTCGATGCTCAAGCTTCTAGCTTCATTGATTTATTTGAGTAGAATTCGATACTGCCTTAGGAAGCATCGTTGCTGCCTTAGGAAAGTCGGATCAGTGTGCTTTAGGTGCGTAATCAGCCAAACTTTGTGTATGATGAGGCAGCTCTAGTTTTAACCGACTGGTTTTGCGCTTAGGAAAGTCAGATTAAGAAAAAAAACACGGGTTAAGAAGTCTTGTTGCTACCTTAGGAAAGTCGGATCAGTGTGCTTTAGGTGCATCATCAGCCAAACTTTGTGTATGATGAGGCAGCTCTAGTTTTAACCGACTGGTTTTGCGCTTAGGAAAGTCGGATTAAGAAAAAAAACACGGTTAAGAAGTCTCGTTGCTACCTTAGGAAAGTCGGATCAGTGTGCTTTAGGTGCATCATCAGCCAAACTTTGTGTATGATGAGGCAGCTTTAGTTTTAACCGACTGTTTTTGCGCTTTTCACTCTTTGCTTATAATGTGCCATTACCAGATTGTGGATTCAGAAGAGGTTTCAATTATGGCACAAATAACCTTCTCATCTTCTTCCAACTGCAGGGAATTTATGATGACATGATCTTGGGTTTTTACCTTGTTGCATATGATGACATTGGGGGCATTTCCTGCCTAAGGATTTGCAACCAGTCCGAGAATTTCTGCCGTTTAATGCGTTTTATCAGTAAGCAACCAGTGTTTTGGACAGTGAACCCTACTTTTATCGAGTCTCCGATTTCCCCAGAGGAAGAAAATTTGTATACTAGTCGCATACATCTTCGACCAAATGCAGCAGCGGATCACGCTCACCAGCATCTCTCTCTTGCGGGAAATGAAAGGGTCTCCCGCATTCTGCGCATAAACTTACGTCATGATCTAGCTCTTCCGAACTGGCCCCGACCTAACCCTCTCCTTGCACATGGAAGGATTTGGCAATATGGGGATGGAACATTCGGGTTTGGATCTCTTCAAGATTGTTTTATCAGAGACTTGAAGCATGTTGCCAAGAATGGTCGTCTTCTTGATACCGTGGAGCCTTTGTCGTGACGAATGCTCTCCTACTTCATTTTTAAATTTGTTTTTGTACAGAATTTCATTGCAGTCATAATTCCAATGACTGAATTTCTTCCTGTTTTGTTGTTCTCTTTTGATACAAGCGATATTTTACTTTGAACTAATTTAAGATGTGGAGACGGAGATTCGAACTTGTGTGCGTGGGAGAAGCGCATCGGTTCACGTCTCCATGTTTTATTGCCTTCAAAACATGGGAATCCTCATCCTTTATTCAAAATTTCAAAGCAACAAAACATTAGGGTTTAGATTGAAAATATAGGATTTGGTATCTCATTCGATCATTCACAAACCTCACAGGGAAACCAAAAACAACAAACGAATGAACCCACACGATTCAATTATACTTAGACTCATCTGTCTTGCAGGGAAATGATAAGGTATGAGGGACAGCAACACCACTCAGGCATAGTGAACGGATGTTAAGGCGATCGTGTTCTTTGAGTCATATTTCGGCAGCAACTTCTCTGGCGCCGACTTTCTCATCCTCCGCGATCTTCTCATGGTCACCCTCAAGCTGGCTCAAGTTTCCTTTCTCCTTGATGAGTTGGGTGTGGTGGTGTTTGCAGTAGAGCCGACCCTCGTGCGCAATGTAGTTTGATGGGCTGATTGTACACCCTCCATGTGTGCATTTGAAACACATCTTGTGGTAAGGAGTTCCGTTCACCGAGACCTTTTCTGTTGGATAAACAGTATTCTTGCAGCCAAAGCACTTATCTCTGGTTCCACCAAACATGCTTGAAGCTTTCGCAACTGCAGATTTCTGTTACAAAAATTTGTCATCACGGCGATGAGCAGATGTCAAAGACATGTAGAATCCACAGGCAAGCTTTTAAAGATTTTCGGACAAATATATACCTCATTATCAATAGGTTTATCTGGTTTTACAATTTTTGGTGTCCCTGAGAAAGGAGATCGAAACGGAAGTTGAGCAACTTGAGCGATGAGAAGGGAAGGCAAGTTATTGAAGCGGGATTTTAATTTTACCTTCAAAACTTTTGTCAAGACTGCCGGTTCTTTTGAAGAGCTGATCAAAATGTGGCCTGCAGTAGAGTACTCCCTCAAAGGAATTGTAGTTGCTGAGCTGCATGTTCATCAATAGGTCAATGGAGTTGTATATGAAAACCAAAAATGGAAAGTTGTTATTTAATCGTTTATCCCGGAATCATTCTTTATCGACTTACAGATGAAGATCAAATCTAAGTCGATACAGAATGATTCCGGGATAGAACAATGCCAGAATAACTGGTAGAATGGAATGACCGGAATCCGATTTCTGACTCTTTGGTGTGGTAAAAGTTTGCCAATCTGCATAACTCTAGTTCTGTTCTTGCATTTGAACAATCCGCATACCAATTTTTCGGGTCTAATCTATGATCTTATAACATCAAGATGCAGGTGAAAATTGAAATTTCTGGAGTTTCAATGTTCAAAAAAAAAGTTGTTCAAGATGAGAACAAAGTACCACAAAGCAGAGTTTACTCCAAACAAGAAAATTTATCAGATCGAAAAGTATGCAGAAAACAACACTTAATTATTGCAGTAGTTGGTTGAGTGCAAGCAATATGAGACTGGTTTTGCTTCAGTTCAACAATCCGTCCCAAAAAATGGCAGTAAATTTTGCTTCAGTAAATTTTAAGAGTCGTTTGACAACCATTTCATTTTTAGTTATAGATCGGCGTAAGTTAACGAACCTTGAGGGTTCCTCTGCAGTGGTGGCACCGAAAGCAGGCTTTGTGGTAGACTCGGTTATCAGCTGTGAGCTTGTCCACCAGATACACTGTCTTGTCACAAGCCATGCACTTCTGAGTTGTTCCTGCAAATGCCATTTCTTCTTCTTCTTCTTCTTCTTCTTCTCTCTCTCCTCTTTCTCTCTCTAAGAAGGGGAGATACGAGAAATGGAATGAGAGAGATTATTGGGGTTGGAGGGGGGAATGAGAATGCAGAGACCAAAAGAGAAGCACAACTGTCAAACTGTTGTGATGAATATGATTAAGGTTAGCTGCTGCAATTAGCAATCATGTTGTCCCATTTCCAATTCTCTCCCTTCTTTTTTTTGCTTCATTCCTTCCTGTTTGAACGGTCACGGTTAAATCACGTCAACATCTTATATTAATTTTTTATAGCAAGAGAAAGACAAAATAAGAGAACGTAAGATGAGAGGATAGAAGGGGATAAAAAAAAGAGAGGAAAGAATCCTAGTCCTTTCCAAGCACATACCTACCACTGTCTCTCACTCTCTAGATATTTTATTTTTTGCCGAAAACATGACTCGGTACATTAAGTGTTGTAATGTTATTGTTTACTTTTTATTTAAATTTTTTAATCAATTATATTATTATACTTAATGTGTCCGAACGTTTTCTTAGCCCACTAAAAAATCTTTCCTGTCCTCTAGTTGAAAAACCATACATTTGATTTGTTTTTTTCTAATGATTTTCTGCATTATTATGAGATGGCAATGTCATAGCTGGAAATATTCAAGGACACATGGGAATATATAAAAACAAATTGCTGACTTCATTGCAAATTTAATAGATGGCCAGGCCAATATGGATGGACGGCTTTGATCGGAAAGAATTTATACCTCAAATAGAAGGTCAATATTCAAGTGGTTAAAAACAGTTACCTAAGACTAAAAGTTGTGTGTTCAAATCTCAATTTCCAATATTGCTAGCAATATATTAGGGGTGGCTGGGAAGGTTTTTAAAATGATTAAAAGTGTTTTTGGTGAAAATATTTTTTAAATTAATCTTTGGTAAAAATTCAAATGGATATTGAAAAAACATTTTAAGTGTTTCCTGCAAGAAGCACACATCTGATGCTTCTTCCAAAACATTTAAAAGTGCGTTTTGAACCTAAAATCAATTTCACCAAAAGTGATTTCATTCATTTTAAAAGTACTTTCATACGAATCCTAGTTAGGATGATGGTGTATAAAGAGGTTTAATTAGTTCAGAAAATGACTACTACTAATTTGATTTGTTTTAGTTGGAAGCTAAATTAGAGTTGTGGGACACTAATGAGTGGGAAACATGTATGAATGGATTGGGTAACACCTAAAATCCCCTTTTTTAAAAATTGAACTTGAAGCATCAAATTAGTGACTTTTCACAAAGTTTGATGGTCCATGCCATCAAATGCCAGCACTACTTCATCATCTCATTGCCTAGCTGGCTTGCATTGCATGTTTATATTCTCAATGATACTTTACCCTATGATAGCATTATTTTTAAGCATTTTAGCGAAAAATAGTCTTTGAAATTGACATAACTTTTTACTGTGATTTCTTATATTTGAAATTGATAGAAGTCATCTATGAGTTTGTCCACCATAAGTTATTTTTGTCATTTTGTAAAAATCTCTATTAAAGAATGATCAAAATGAGAAAAATATATTCAATTCAATAAATAATGGTTCAAAATGATTTGACAAAATTCGAGAGTATTTTTGTCATTTTAGTCTCATTTAACAGAGATTTTTCACTGAATGACCAAAATGATTAATGGTAGACAATCTCAGAGACTACTTATATTGATTTTAAATCTCAGGGATCAAAGTGAGAAGTTATGCCAATCTCATAGATCATTTTGGCTAAAAAACCTCATTTTTATAAAGATGGAGATGACTTCTAAATTAAAGTTATATCCTTGAGTGAAATTGTCTCAAACATTAACCGATCATCTTGATTGATAATCTATCAACATAATTATAACAAACCGTTTTGCTAAAAGAACATCTCCGTGTAATCTTATCCTAACCAATGTTCTATGATATATATCAATTGGACATTTTGGACCTAATAAGATACGTTTTTTGCAGAGTTGTGATGTAGCAGATGGTTAGGGTTGTTTGATCATATGATTTTTTTATTTTTATTATTTGAGCAATATTATAATATATTTTAAATTAGGGTATCAAATTTAGCTATGGAGAAGGAAAACTGACATAGCGTAAGTATCCAAACATTGCACGTGAGTTTTAAATGATGGAGGTACAAAACTAGTCATTTACTCTCTTCTTTTATCTTTTACCACACTCGATCATGATGACAAATCTTAATTCCAAATTCCATCCATGCAATATGTGGGAGTCCCACATTGGACTTTTGCTTTTGCCTAATGAAAGCTATAATTTACCCATATGTGGGAATTTTTCAAGTTTTTAACCAATGTTAACACTTGGTGTACCAAGACGTGTTTCCGACACATTGAAAAATCCCTCCAAAATCATAGGATGTAAAGAATTCTCTATTCATAACATTATACATGCATCAATATCATCAATAATATACTAGTACGTTTTGTTGATAACAATGATACCGTCTTATTAACTGCAACATATTGACCTTCATTCCACAGTAGGACCTCATCCCATGTGAATGAAAGTGAGATGACAAAGCTCATCCGAATTGTAATAAATGGGCTCAAGGGTGGGAACAATGGGCCCCGACATGGGCTTAATTTAAGATAATATTTTATTACTAATATATAGCCCTAGATTAATAACAAACAGGGCATTTGGTCTAGTGGTATGATTCTCGCTTTGGGTGCGAGAGGTCCCGAGTTCGATTCTCGGAATGCCCCCTTTTTTTCACTTTCATTAATTTCTACCCCCTTCTCCATTTGCCGCCGACTCGCAGTCCCTCAATTACCGCCCCCAAATTTAAAACCCTAAACCTCTCAATTCTTCGATTGCATTGCACTGAACAATCACTTCTCTCGATTTTCCGGCGACTTTACCCTAAAACCCAAAAATGGTTTTTGGGCAAGTGGTGATCGGCCCCCCTGGGTCAGGAAAGACCACTTATTGCAATGGCATGTCTCAGTTCCTCCAGCTCATCGGAAGGTAAAACATTTCACTCTGATTTCTGGGTATTCAAGTTTTTCCATGGCTTCAATTTTGCGTTTTGAATCTGTCTGAAATATTTACAGTAGCAATTTGCTGTTTTGGTGTGCAGGAAAGTTGCTGTGGTAAACTTGGATCCTGCCAACGATGCATTGCCGTATCCTTTTCGGGTTTTTATTTTTTTGATTTTTCGTGTTTGTTGTTCGTAATTTGTAGTGTTGCATTGCATTCCAATGTAGAATGTTGAGCCTTTACGTGAATTTAGGTATGAATGTGCTGTGAACATGGAGGAGCTTATAAAACTGAGTGATGTCATGGTGGAGCACTCTCTTGGTCCCAATGGAGGTGAGCTCCTACTCTTCTTTTCTTTTTAATTTGTAAAAGGTTCATTACTTGAGTAAGTTAAAAGGTGGAAATTGTTTGGTTTGTTAATGAAGAAGGAAACCAATGGAAAGACAGGAAGTTCTTGGATTTGGACCCTCGATTTTCTCTTTCGAAAATAAGTGACATTTGGAGATGTTAGATGGTAGGAAATACGCATTTAAAGGACGATTTTCCGTTCACTGATCATGAAGCTCCTTTATTTTCTATTTTTGGGAGTGTGTTAAATGGAGTAAAGGTTCTAAAATATCCACAAGATAGACAGGATGAACAGTTAACGAGTGCATGTTAAAGAGCTTACATGTCATTAAAGACATAAAATCACTTGATGTACCTTTTGTTGATTTTCTTGACCAAGACAAAAACATGTGAAGTTTAGGAACTTGTTGATGTTGTGTATCAGTCTATCAGATGGTTTACGATATGCTATTCATGTTTATTTGTTGTCAATTCTCTTGAGTTATGACTGACCCGTTAGTTGGGTGCTACATATGTGTTTCTAAACTCAACAAATGATGCTTTTTTGAGGAATGTTACAAGTCCTTTTTTGGTGGATTTTGTACTTAATACTTGTAGTGTATGGGCCTTTGGAGTTCTGCAACTTCTGAAGTTTCTTTCGTCGTCTTCGTCCAGGTCTTGTATATTGCATGGATTATCTAGAGAAGAATATTGACTGGTTGGAGGCCAAGTTGAAACCTCTTATAAAAGGTTGGTGTGTTCTGCTTTGTTTTACTTGTTTAGAATATTCGGGCTCTGGCATTAAAATCATGATAATCCGTTTTATGTTTTCCAGAGGGCATGACAGTTCGGGATTATACCTCAAGGTTTGAACAATGATGCCTAAATATAAATGATAAATGCAACCTCTGGAAAAGAAAAAAAAAAGCAATGGTTGAAAGAAACTAAGCAAGTATAAATGCTTGTTTTCGTTTTTTTGGTCTATCTAAGTGTATTATGTAGAGTTATGCATTGTACTAGCATTTTTAAAAGGAATCGAATATTAGTCTTCTAGTTTGTCCCCTGAGCAGTGATGAAATAATAGTGGCATGCTGCTGCCTAACATTATTATGAACTTTGCAGATCATTATATTCTATTTGATCTCCCTGGCCAAGTGGAACTATTCTTTCTTCACTCCAACGCCAAGAACGTTATCATGAAACTCGTGAAGAAGTTAAACCTCAGGGTATGATTCCAATCCTCTTTTTAATACTTTTAGCTTGCACCATTCAGCGGGACCATGATAATTATGCCCTTGGGATTGTAATCTTGATGGCTTCCTGATTTGGTGCAGTTGACTGCAGTACATTTGGTTGATTCCCATCTTTGCAGCGACCCTGGAAAGTATGTTAGTGCATTGATTCTCTCTTTATCAACCATGCTTCATATGGAACTCCCGCACATAAATGTCTTGTCTAAGATTGATCTAATAGAGAGCTACGGAAAGCTAGGTATGGTCATGGCTTATCCTTTTGTTTTTTTTTATCCGTGCCATTTCTTATACACATTTGAGATATATAATCTGATACTGATATTTCTGTTTTCTTTTTAATGCCTGCAGCTTTCAACCTCGATTTCTTCACAGATGTAGAGGATTTATCTTATCTTCAGTACAAGCTTGATCAGGATCCTCGCTCGGCTAAGTACAGGTTTGATTAATATTTGATCATATGGCAACAACCTATGAAAATCTTGCTCTTCCATAAACAAATGTTTTTTGTTCATATTGCAGAAAGCTTACTAAGGAGCTTTGTGAAGTAA